TTCATAAAGGACGTACTTTTCCTTTGTTTAAGGGTATTTGGGCAGTTTATTCTCTGTTATATTCTCAAGTAAACAATACATACAAGTACAGTACAGTATTTTCTGAGGAAACACTCGTACTTATTTTTTTAACCCCATTCCGGATAACCCGGCATTTTCACAAACTCGGACACCCTTCGGTCCACATTAGGCCGAGTTTTCGAGGTTCTACTGTATTATATTAATAGACAGATATCATCGTCTCTTGAAATACAATATCTTTCTTATTTCGCTGTCGATAGCCCGACACGTGTTCCGCAGCCATCTTGTATTTTTTCGCGCGCGTGGGATTGTGGGATCTCTCTTATGACTGGATCTATTTTCGAGAACTCTCTCGAGTCGATCGCGATTGAACCTCGTTTTAGTCGAGATTGAAACGGTCGATGGAGGTTGCACTAGGCCAGGCGGCAGTTTGTCAAGTGAGAAGAGCCAAATTGTCATGAAAATAGGATAACAAAAGTACCAGAGAGCCGCATGTTAATTTAAATGTGCGAAATACGACACACGACAGGAGCGCCTCTAGTGGCCGTTTTCGGCATAACGTTACACGGATGGACGGACACGCGTTCAATGGGTTATATATATAGATATGCTTCAAAGCTACCACTTTTATGCGACTCATATTGATCAACGCGAGTGTGGTTATGTGCGGCAGGAGAACAAGTCGAAGTTTGTTCGGCGGCTCTATCTCATAAACTCATAAGTTATAAGGCTGCGGTGAAATGAGGTGAAATGAAATTGGAGTTTATATCCGAAGAGCCGCAAACGTCTATGCAAAGAGCCGCATGCGGCTCGCGAGCCGCTAATTCCGACCCCTGCACTAGGCAAACAGGGTATAAGGCTCTAGTTTAGTAGTGTTACAGAGTATAATACGTATATTTTATTATATTTTTTAAAAGAAACAAAACTACTGAGAAATGTTACGTGTGTTTAACAACGGGTTCGGAAAACTTTAAAAATGTTAACAACGGGTTCGGCCGAACATGTGCGATCCCGCTGAATATCAGCACTGTGAATCAAACAGTTTAAAGTACGATTTTAAACAAAGAACCCAATCACACATTCCAAATAAAGAGTTAATTAAATTTCACAAATGTTATTATTAAATCACAAATCTACTATATATGAAGTGGCTAATATGGCAGACATGTTTAACATGCGATCATTAAAATAGATTTTTGTTTTATTATATACAATATTTACGTATTTTGTTTACTGTTTTTGTGTTTTAATCTATTATAAGAGCATTTAATTATTTAGACCTGTAAATTTCCAATGTCGTCTCTCCTTTTGTCTTTTTGTCAATATCGAGAACGGAATTAGATAGATGGACAGCGAGACTATATATGTAAACCTTAGAAGCAGCAAACCCCGATTAACTATATAAGGACTTCCGATGCAAACGAAACGTCATGTTATTTCAATTCAAATAGTTGTATTTGCTTGATAGATGACAGGCACGACTTTATTGTTAAGGGAAAGGGAAAAATATGACGAACAGGAGCATGACACTACTAATTTCAGGTGGAGAGCGTATATTTTAAGTTAAATAAATTAAAAATTGCAGCTCGGTATTGTAACGATATCACAATAAACAATTGCTCGTTAAAAATCAATTTTAGTCATTTTTTCGTAGAGAAAAATAAAGTAAATGGTCTTTTTAAAATGGATAATGATGATATAATAGTAATTCTACTGCATCGAGCACTAGCTGTCTGCTAATATAAAACATTGATATTTTTTCCTTATCCTAACTTTATCCTCTTCTGTTTACTCCTAAGCTCTTTGAGCCATCAGCCTCGAAGATTTTATATATACTCGATAGGATTCTGCGGAAAATATATGCTGCATTAACATATATCTGGAAACTTCGTTTTTCTTTTAATTTTTTATTCCCTAACCGACTTCTTAATATACATAACAATGGTAAGCTAAACTAACTAAACTTATACTATGGTTTTCGTTTATAAACAACATTTGTTTGTTCTTATTTTTTTCTGGCAACGTCGGGGATAGATTTAAATAAAAATGATTAAAATTAAATTTATATATATTAATTCATTCAGGTTATCAACATTTCTCAATTGATGACAACAAAATGAAAATCGACTGTATAAGAGAAAATCTTTGCTTTATTTACAAGAGGATCGGAAATACAGTTGGAATACATCCATACTATTTCATCATTTTACCTATAATTCTCTCCATTGCTTTGTCTCCATTCATTATAAGCTTAAAAATTAATGAAGATTTTTATGATATGGTACTCTCTGACAATGGGAAAATCTTCGCTACTAAGAAATTCGTAGAAAATACCTTTACGTATAATTCGGCAGAGTTTTCTGACCAAATGAGAATTCCTGATGTACCCAATGCCCTCTTCGTGTACCTCTTGAAAAGGGGCGGAGGAAACATGCTCGATAAAAATGTTCTTTCGGATGTACGATTAATCGATGAAGTCGTACAAAACGTAACATTTGATAGTGATGGGAAACAGAAGGGTTATCTCGATGTTTGCGCTTTAAATAACGACAAATGCTTCCAAAACCCGATTATTGAAGTGATGTCAGAAGTGGGAATAAATTCCATTCTGCAGAAAAGGACAAAGTTAAAATATCCCATTGATATAGATTTATTGTCTTTCACCTATAAAATTTACTTCGCGAATTTGGGAGGTGTAGTTCTGGATGACAATAACTTTATAGATGAAGCTAATGCGATGATGTTATATTATTCAACAGACGATAAGAATGAAGAGAAGAGAAAAACATTTGAACAATGGTCTACTTTCGTTTACGACACAATTCAGAAATATAACTTTACTTATGTTAATACTTATCCCGATTCTCCTTTATTCATCGAGAAAGAATTTAGGAAAGAATTTCATAAGATACAGCCTAAAATTGGAGGTTTAGTAGCGTTTATGATAATATTTTCAATATTGTTCTGCATGAGCAACAGTTGGGTTCGAAGTAAACCCGTGCTTGGTGTAGCCAGTGTCATGTCGGCTGGATTAGCGGTTGTCTCTTCTTTCGGATTAATGTCGGCGTTAGGTATAGAAAACATTTCGTGGAATGCCACAATTCCATATCTAGTGCTTGGTAAGTTGTTTCCTAAATTTACTTTAATTTCTTTCGTAATGATGTTAACAAACTGATTGGTTATTAATTTTGTTTTAGTGACGGAGATAGATGATGCATTTGTAGTAATAGGCTGCTGGAGAGTAACTAATCCCAAGCAGAAAGTCGAGAAACGCATGGAAGCGACATATTGTGAAGCTGGACTTTCCATCACTTTGACTTCAGTCACAAACTTCATTTCTTATTGCATCGGAATGATGAGTCCGTTTCCTTTTGTTAGAATATTCTGTTATTATACAGCGACTTGCATCGTATTCACGTTCCTGTATCAGATGACGTTTTTCGGGGGTTGCCTGGCATTAAGTGGATACAGAGAGAAGCAGAATTGTCTTTCCTTTACGTTATTTACTCGAGGTATGTTAAAATTTAATTTGACTTAAAATACTTCAAGATTCTGTCACGATTCTGATAGTGTAGACAGAAAGATATTCATACAATAATTTTCTATCTGAATATTATTCTCTTTACAATTACTTCTCAGCATTACATTTGTTGAAACTTTCTTAAAGTATTTTCAATATTTAACTGTCAAATACATCTATAAATGAGATCAAGCTCAAAATTATCTTTCCGACGCAAATAATAATTCATGAACATTTTTAATGTGTTTCTGAATTTCCTCAAATTTCTGCTTTTTATCCTATTTCATTCCGGTCAAATGGAATTTTTAAATGGCGCCTTGCATCAATGTATTTAAATTAAACATGAGTTTGCTACTTTCTGGTTGGGTGAATCAACTGAATACTGGTAGTTGATCGTGGGTTCGCGAATCTTCAACGATGTGTTTTTTATGTGTTTATTACCCCAAAACAAAGTCAGTTTACCACAGAAAGTCCATTCGGTAGGCATCCACTCTTGAAAAATCTCCAAATTGCTGCGTTCTCTTATTCCACCACTCGAAGTTTCACCAAAAAACTTCTGTATTTGTATCTCGGACTATAAGGTTAAATAATTAATTATCAATTTGATAGGAAGCATGGTGCCATTTATTGTTATAAATTGTTGCTTGTAAGAATTTCAGCACATTAACAAAATCGTGATATTAGCTTTAAACTTACAGGATATATAAATCAGAGTGTGGTGTGCAAATTATCAAAATTCAGAGTGATTGCACATGTCTAAGATCAGCAGTGCACTTTTAACTCCGGCGTTTAGAATATAAATGCAGGGTTGTTTAGAAGCCCCACACGATTTCATCACGGATTGTAACCTTTAAAATTGTTTTCGGAATCATTATTCCACATCAATTATTCGCAATTCCACATTATTCCATAGCGCTCAATAGTATGAAATGACAGAAATTGAATTTCGACGCATGGTTAGCCTGCATGAAGGCAAACTTGCATATCACGACTGCTGCTCTACGAGGCGTAATGCCATAACACTAATGACTGTTTGCAGTTTTTAGTTGTTTAATTGTTACATAATCTTACGTTTATGATATTTTCTTGTTTAAGAATAAGATATGAATATCGCAATTAAAAAAGTATTATAGAGCAGTTCATAATTAAGTTTGTTTTTATTATTTTATATTATTTTAAAGGTTAACTACATACCGGTATTTCATCCATTTGGCAATTTCATCTAATACTCTATTTAATCTTTTCTATAAAAAACAAAATTATATCTGACAGTCGTCATGAGAATTATGCTCTCAAGTCCTAAACAGATATGTTCAAACGAATAATGTGTGTTTTAAACACATAAAATTTCAACAACGAAATTTTCTAACTTTATTAACATTTATTACAGAAAACATAATTTTAACATATTTTTGAATTTATTTCCACTAATTTATCTTAACTTTAAGTTTTTATTTACTGTAGCACAATCCGAAGAAAATACTTTGGCAGAAGACGAAATTCAAGAAGAAGCTTCCATGGTATTTTTTAAAGATGTGTTAGGAAAAATACTATCGAATCCAGTTTTGAAGATGATTGTTGTCTTTATCTATATCATTAATTTATCACTTGGAATTTGGGGTGCTCATTCTATTGAACATGGATTAAAGTACGAGCATTTATTTGCCGAAGGTACTTTGCTTCAACAAAGCTCTCGAATTCGAATGAAATATTTTGCAGATTACGTTTATCCTTTTCACATAATCATCAATAAGACTTTAGATTACTCAGATATAAAAGTTCAAGAATCCATAGAAAATCTCTTAAAAAGATTCGAGCAACATTCGAATGTGGCCGAAGAGCAATACACTGTATCGTGGTTAAAGTTTTATAAGGAGTTTCAGAATAGTCCTGTTGCGAAATTTTCGTTAGGAGGTTATAACATGTCGAACAAACAGGATTTCATCGATGGTCTTCGTAACGTTTTCTTCAAAATACGCGCAGCCAAGTCACTATCTAATGATATCGTCTTCAACAGCGACGGAACTGACATCTTGTATAGCAGATTTTTTATCATGGGTAAGAATTTGAATTCTTCACAAACAGACAGAGACACATTGAAAGAATTATGGAAAATTGCTGAAAAATCCGATATTCCTGTTTTGGTGCACTGTATGAAATCGGGTGTAGTTGACCAAGGTATAATCATAGAACATACAATTTATCAATTATTTTGGATTACGGCCGTTTTAATAACTATAATCTTTTTCTTAATGATACCGAACGTTCTAGTTGCCCTTACTGTTGCCATATCTGTTGTATGTTCAATAATAGAAACATTGGGTTACATGTCATTGTGGGGCGTCAATTTGGATATATTCTCTATGATGAATCTTATTCTGTGTGTTGGATTCAGTGTGAATTACCCTTGTCATATGTCTTATGCTTATATTACGTCATCTAAGAAGACTGCGAACGAGAAAATGAGAGATTCTTTGTATCGTATTGGGTTTTCTGTTATTCAAGGTTCATTGTCCACAGGATTAGGAATATTGATTTTATATTCGGATGTGTATTTTCTGTCGACATTTGTGAAAATCGTAGTGCTTATTGCTATAGAAACGGCATTTCATGCTTTGTTTTTTATACCTGTTGTTTTGTCTATGATTTTCCCCTTATTTGAAAAGTCACAAAATACTTTAATTTTGTTAATAAATCATCGCCCTGGTCGTCCTAAGACTACTTCGTAAATAAGGTGTTTTAAAGAATAAATTTTTTCATTACATTGGAAATGACTTTTATATTGGTACTGGTATACAAAAAGATTGTCTGTTAATTAAAATTTGAGTTTTAATTATTTTATTATTTTTCTAGCAAAGGATGAAAAATTCTAATTCTATGCCCTTGTTAACTGTAGTTTCATTCAGTGTTGTTTTGTATATGCCATATATGCATTATTTATGTACACTTATTTAAAATTACCTACAATGTAATTCTTGTATGATTTTGTTTAGAAGTTAATATTAAAAGACATACAAATCTTTGGTTTGTATACATTTGGGACAAAATTAGTTTACCCCGAAAGATACTGGCATGCTTCAATTCCAGGACACGCGATAAACGTGTATTTTTATTTTTCTAGTAATAGAAATACATTTAAAATGCGGAAAAATATAGTTTATTGTTAAAAAGTTGATTCTAGAAAGAGTTTTCAGAATAAACCTCTCTAGACGCTGGGTTCCAGTTGGAAAAACCCGTGACATTCGAAAAAAACCGGGACATCTGGCAACAGTAGAAAAATCTCTAGCATCATCTCTGAAATAGGCATGTAATGAATTGTAGCACTAAAATTAACAGTATTTAACAGTAATAATTATGAGCATATACCATAGAATTACAAGACATATGCTAGAATATGACCGTTATAAAACTCGTGGTTTTATTATTAATTGATGAGACTATATAACACGTGTGTATTTGTTGATTCAATATATAGCAGGTGATTTATTTAGCATCTAAAGCCAAGATCCTTTTAAAGTGTTCATTGCCAATTTATAAGTGTATTGGTGTAGAAGAGGACGTTTTATCGAGCACATTGCAAGCAATATTCCTAAATGAAAAATAACTACTTTATGATTGAACAATTACTTTGCTTTGTAACTAATACTTTGTATTTCTATTCTTTCCTTTCGATGTCAGGTATTTTGGCATCGACACCCCATATTTGATATTCGTAATACAGCTTCAAGATATTTATTTATAACAGACTTGTTAAGATGAAAGAACTACTGTACTATAGTCAATCGTGTTGAATGGCCTCAGAGTAAAAAATAAAAATAATTAAAGAAATGATCGATCTTTTAAACATGCTACACGTGATCATTCCTAAAAGTTATTCCAACGATAAATTGTTGAGTAAAACAAATTAACGTCACATCTTTGTAACAGACAACAACATCTGTACTGTACATTACTTTTTTAAATATAAATAAGTTATTCGATAAAATAACCAGGAAAAGAGTGTTTTCAATAGTTGAAAATGTCTCAGATAAAGACAAGTAGGCGGTTAGGAAAGCCTCTCTCTTGTTAATAATTACTCATGTTGTTTTAATTCCCCTGGATGTGAGTTATTTTGGCCCTGTAAATAATTATGTTATTTTTTTACGTAGGTAGATATACATGGTGTTTCAGTACGCGGTATATTCCCGCCAGTATTGATAGATTAGAAAAAAATAACTCTAAAAATCTTATATCATTCTTTCATGATGAACTTTCCTGGCACAAAAAAAATCGCGAAAGTGAAATTCTTAAAATCAAATTACCAGCAATAATGTGCATTTTTATAAGAACCATTTCATCTTTACGAACAAATAGTACACATCTTATACAATGCAATTGATAAAAAAAAGTTAAATTAAATTTTATGTTACTAAAAATCTATTTTAAAAAAGTGTCAAAAAATTGATTTTTTAGATTTTTTCACACTTATTATATTTTATAATTATATCTAATATGTAAAAATTTATGAAAATGTTCAATAGCAGAATTTAAATTTAGGACAAATTTGATTTTCAATTAATACATCTGTATTTTATATTTTTGACTGCAAATTTATTTATTCATCTATTATCCTTGTCCCATCTATATGGTGTCACATCATTTTTTCTAGTCTATTTTTCTTTTATATTGCCACAGGATTCTTGAATCTGCAATATACCACCTCCTTTCGAGTGGATAATGTGTATAAACAAGACTTTTTACTTCTTCCTTAACAATGTGCTGGCCACTGGAGTTTTCCTCAACTTATCTAATACCTAAATCGCAGCCAGTTTCCCATACAGTTCTCCAATGTGGCACTATTCCTTGCGGAATCGCCACATGTTGCCTTCTTGTGACCCATTAAGCCTACAGTTTTGTTAGAACGATCTTATAGTCACTTAAATTGAGCACGTTTATCGTCATCAAGAGCTAATGTATCTGGCATTTAAATTTTGTTCTATATCAAGATTTTATTTATTCCAATAATTTCTGGTACATTGGAAAGAACCTGTCTAATATTTTATTCTTGGCAAAGGTTAATGTACGACTTTTTCAGCACTCATGTACGACGCTATCCAATATGAAATTTTATTAGAAACTAATTTTTATATTATTAATTGTTATGAAAAGAGAAAAGGCTTGTTTTTGCGTAAGAGCAAAAACTTTAAAAAATTGTAAATTCTTATAACAAGTACATTTCCTTTTCCGAATTTGACACTAATTAACATATATCGAAGATCTACCTCCATCCCCCAATCTCTTAAAGAAGTTTGATCGATCAACAGAAATCGCTTTTCAATTTTCTGTTTTATTAGATTTTCTCAATTACAGACGAAAATATCCCTATTTTTACTTTCTCCGCTCTGTAATATATAAGAGAAGAAAAGTATGGCGACCAGTCAAAAAATGTCGCCCAAGATTTTTTTCACTTTTTCACGTGAGTTCTTTGAAACGTCGAAAAATAACAAAAAACAATTCAGGTTTTTTCTATGTGAAGGATTGTTAAGTAAATGTCAAAAGATCGCGATGATTATTAAGTTATTATTACAGAAGTTATTAAAGCTTAATAACTTCTGTACCCTTGGTCGAAAATTTCTGCGATTTTTCAGAGACATTTGTATATTAAAGGGATTGATGCTATTGTGAGGCCGGGAACTTGATTGACTGACGGGAATATGACTGTCGAACCAGGTCCAATAATTCGGTGACTTATCTCGAGAATAGGACCAAATTGGCTGAGTAATGGGGTACGAGAGGCCTATTGCACTGTCCTATTGCAGACGTAATTGACAGATCCCCGATCGTACATCGTGGAAAGGAAAGAGGGATCTACCTCCAGGGAAAATTTCGACGGTCACCTTAAATAGAGATCAAAGCAGCTGTGTCTTCTCCGAGGCAGAAAGTACACATTAGATCAAAATTTACGGGACCGTCACCCAGGAAAAGGCAAGATTCAACTCCGGAGGGAAACGGCCCTGATATGGACGTCCGGCGACCCCGCGGCCCGAATCGCTTTCTTTGCAGCAGACCTGGGACCAACAAAGTTACAGGGAACCACTGTTCGGATAAACCAAAGCCTCAGAACTTTAGGTGAAAACGTTATAAAAGCTCGAAATTACAAGAATACGAAGAGGTTGTGGGAAGTTGATATCGAAAACCTAGGAGTATTCTAAAGATCTCGATCATCTTCGGACCCATCATCCCGGATCTCCAGAGCCAAACTTTCCTCGGACCCATCATACAAGGCCGCCGCAGATGAAGTTGTTGTGGAATCTCCACAGGATTGTCTAACTCATCCATTGTAAGCATATCTTTACTTAAATAAACGCGTTAAGTTTGTAAATTCGGTCTCTGTGTGAGTCTCTCTTTGCGTCCAGCAACCTCTACACCCATACCTCAAAATACTTCTGGCGTCATCCTGACAGATTGCGAGAAAAGCGAGGGTCGCAATCTTTCTCCTAAGGCAGACCCTAGGCTAGTGGCTTCGGGCTTATTTAAAACCTTACACTCTTAAATATTCGTGATTAAATGTAAACTGAGTGGAGAAAAAATGAGATCATGTGTCATATCTGGAGTAGGATCGGACTCAATAGCAATTTTACTTGTATTAGCATTTACAATTTTTATATTACTCATCCTTATACTCAAAAGTAAGCTTATTGACGTTTTATAATAATTAAAACATTATTTAAAAAATTAATAAAACATCACAAGAGATGGCGCCACCAAAATTTTTNTAAAAAAGAGAAGGCTTCTTTTTGCGTAAGAGCAAAAACTTTCAAAAATTGTAAATTCCTATAACAAGTACATTTCTTTTTCCGAATCGGACACTAATTCACATATATCGAAGATCCACCTCCATCCCCCATCTCTTAAACTTAAAGAAGTTTCATCGATCAACAGAAACCGCTTTTCAATTTTCTGTTTTATTAGATTTTCTCAATTACAAGAGAAAATATCCATATTTTTACTTTCTCCGCTCTGTAATATATAAGAGAAGAAAAGTTTGGCGACCGGTCAAAAAATGATCGCCCAAAATTTTTTTCACTTTTTCACGTGAGCTCTTTGAAACGTCGAAAATTAAAAAAAAACAATTCAGGTTTTTTCTATGTAAAGGATTGTTAAGTGTATGTGAAAAGATCGCGATGATTATCTCCCTCTTTAAAGCTTAATAACTTCTGTACCCTTGGTCGAAAATTTCTGCGATTTTTCAGAGACATTTGTATATTAAAGGGATTGATGCTATTGTGAGGCCGAGACCTTGATTGACTGAAGGGAATATGACTGTCGAACCGGGTCCAATAATTCGATGAGTTATCTCGAGAATAGGACCAAATTGGCTGAGTAATGGGGTACGAAAGGATTTCACTGTCCTATTCCATACGTAATTGACAGATCCCCGATCGTACATCGTGGAAAGGAAAGAGGGATCTACCTCCAGGGAAAATTTCGACGGTCACCTTAAATAGAGTTCAAAGCAGCTGTGTCTTCTCCGAGGCAGAAAGTACACATTAGATCAAAATTTACGAGACCGTCAGCCAGGAAAAGGAAAGATTTAACTCCGGAGGGAAACGGCCCTGATATGGACGTCCGGCGACCCCGCGGCCCGAATCACGCCCTTTGCAGCAGACCTGGGACCAAGAAAGTTACAGGGAACCACTGTTCGGATAAACCAAAACCTCAGAATTTTACGTGAAAACGTTATAAAAGCTCGAAATTACAAGCATACGAAGAGGTTGTGGGAAGTTGATATCGAAAACCTAGGAGTATTCTAAAGAACTCGATCATCTTCGGACCCATCATCCCGGATCTCCAGAGCCAAACTTTT